GGGGGTGAGTGTGTGGGTGTGCACGGGGGAGGGGAGGGGGGGGGGGGGGGGTGGGCATGGGATTGGTTCTGCCAGACTTCCCACTTCCCAGGGCCACAGTAGGCATAACAGTCCAGCACGTGCACACCATCTGCAACCTGCATGCAGTACTCAAGCACAAGCCTGTGTGCCATGGGCTGGTGGCCAGGGGTGGGAACCCTGAAGTTTGCTGAGCCAGCATGGTAATGCAAGAAAGAGATTGGCCATGAAAATAAACAGAGCCTTGTGTCAGTGGGAGGGACAGAAGGGAGCTGGGCTGAGTTTCAAGAGACAAGGGAATATGGGAGGAAGCCCTAATGACACTGTGACAGCCCCTCCATATGTTCTCATGAATATGCTAAATGTCACAGGGTCTTGCAGGGCCTGAACATGCACCACAGAAAACGTGCCATCTGAATGATCCTCATGGGGCCTGTCCCACTAAGGGCAGCAAAAGTGGGGGGCAGGCTCAGTAGAAATTGGGCCAGGAGAGAAGGGATGCTGTGAGGGTCTGGGTAGAGGGCAACTGAGTTATGGCTGTATGTAGAGTAATGCCAGGCCCGAGAGAGGAGGGCTAGGAAGCAGCACTGTGCCCTGAGGTGTCTCATACAGAGGAAAAAAAATGCTTAGTGTCTCCCTGAGGGAGACAGTGATGCACACCCTGCAGTTAGAGGTCCCATTCCTGTCTTTGCTAGGAAGGCTGAAAACAGGGCTTTCCAAGTGGTCTCACTTCCTCCTGGGAAGATCAGGGACAAAACACTCATTCTTGGGCCCCAAAGACATGAAGCAGTTACTCCTACATCAGAGCCAGGCCCTGCACTAAGCATTTTTTTCAACGATACTATTTGGACCTTACAGCAATATGGAAATACAGTGATCCGATTCTGCAGAGCCATGACAGTACTTACTTAGCACACATCTAAGAATCAAATCCAGGTCTGTGTGACTACACCACTCCTGCCCTGCATTAGTAACTCCCATAAAGAGTTGAGAAGACCATTAGGGGCCACATATCCCTTAGAGCTGGAAACCAAGGTACAGAGTATAGAGGCTGCCCTCTCATGGGTGCATGAGTTAGTGGCAGTCAGGACAATAGCCTGGAGCTTCTGGCTCCCCGAGTGCTGCTCCTTCCTGACATTGCCAGGATGCTAGCCTGTGTTACAGGGAAGCCAGAAGTGCCTGGAAGAGAAGGAGATACAGCCCTGGTCTAGGCAGGTAGGTGCAGGGCTCCTCCTGGCTGCTGGGGCACTGGTCATTAGAAGCTAAAGCAGACTCCCACCTGAACTTCACTCCTCCAGCTACAGGTCTACTCCATATAAACCAGCCCAGGGAGAAACAGAGTCCCCAGAGAAGACCTGACCTAGGGGCTGCCTTTGGTTGCCCTTCCGCTCTGTCCTCTCCAAAGGGACTCAGGTGACATAAGCAAAAGCCTAGAGGTACTGTGTTATCTACTTATAAGTCAACTTGACACAAGATAGAGTTATCTGAAAGGAGGGACCCTCAACTGAGAAAATGCCTCCATAAGACCAGGCTGTAGAGCATTTTCTCATTAGTGATTGATGGGGGAGGGCACAGCCTACTGTGGGTGGTGCCATCATACCTA